TCACCTGTCCATGTTCGGCCACCTAGGGTTGCGCCTGACCTCGAGCCCCTTGAAGTAAGGGATCGAAGCCGCCATTCGCTCGAGGAAAGGCGTGTACATGAGGTCCACGTAGGATAGCTCTTTCCCTGAACAGAACACATAAGAGAGAGAGAGACAAGAGAGAGAGAGAGACAGACAGACAAAGAAAGAGAGGCAGGGTGCGCCAGGGGGGGAGAGGAGGGGCGCATCAGGGGAAGCGAGAGAGGGAGAGAGAGAGAGAGAGAGAGAGAGAGAGAGAGAGAGAGAGGTACCGAGAATCATGCCGTAACACAGCGATAACATGCGGAAAGCGGGAAAATCGAAAGACGACTCGTTCTTTTCTGTCGATCCACCTACACATGAAACCGATCGAAAGTCTACAGCGGGGGTGTCGATGTAAGGCGGTACAGTAGCGGGGGCTGACGAAGAGCACCGCCTCGTGTCGGATCGGCAAACACAGACAGAGACAGGCCTTCGCGAACACCAAATAACTCGGCATGAGATCAGGTGCAGGTGAGAACGCAAAAGCTGGACAAGGCGGAAAAGTCGTCCCAGGCGCTCTGGAACCGACCCTCTCGACCACAGTAGTAGGGTTCACCCCCCCAATTTCGTCCCCCCCCCCCCCCCACCGAAAAGTGGTGTCTGTCGTGGCTTGGGTTAACCAAAGTCTGCCACGATCACGAAACAACGGGTAAATTCTGTCTAACAAACAAATAGCAGCTAATTAACGGCAAAGTCTGGGCAAAGGCAACTCCTTCGAGTCTTCCTCCGGGGGAATACCGACAACACGCTGTCTCCCCCCTCTCTTCTCACCCAAAAAGTACGGCCCGCCTCCGTCCTTTAGCGCCTTTTCGACCTTATCTGCCGACGCTTCGAAGGCGGCCGAGGTTGGGTTGGAGCTGGTTATCCAGCGGAACCTTCGTTGTTGTTTTTTCCGAGGATCGGCAGCGGCGAAGAGAGCCGTGTTGCCCCGCAGACAACATTCAAGCAAAAAAGAGAGAAGAGGCGGAAGCAGGTGAGAAACGGGTGCATCCGTGAGAGGGGGTCGACCGTATTCTGTCCGTGTGCAATGCGTTCTGAGGACGGACGTTGGAACTTATCTTGTCTAGGTTTTCGGAGAGTCAAGGCAATAAGATGGTACGTCTACCCGTCCAAGGGTGTGATGACGCCGTTGAATCTACTCGGGTCGTCGTCGAAAAACTGAGTTTGTGTGCTGTGTGACCCCCTCTTTTGCAACGAGCTCGAAGCCGAACACGAACAAACCGTTTCCATTTTCACGAAAAAAATGTGTGCTTACCCAGAGCCCAAAATTTTGTTTCAAGAATTTTCTAAATTTCGATTTGGGACCCCATATATTTGTATCTTATTTCTTTAGGCCGAGTCTTACGTCGTGATTATTTCGGAGATTTTTTATTTTCTGGGTGGGGGGGGGTGGCCTGCACGGAAAAAATTATCAAGATCCAAACGACCGTCTTACGCTTCCTCGAGGTATGTTTTATTCTGAAGGGAAAAAAGAGGCTGATTCATGTTCTTGTGAGTCACAACATGCTTCAGTACACGGTTTTGGCTCGTGTGCGACCAATAAGACACCGAGCGCCCTGTTTATGGGTCGCCTGCAGAGGGCATGTGTATCATCGCACGCCCGTGGCTGCAGTTTGTGGATGTCGTCGGCCAAAGGCCTCTCTCTGATGGCATGCGTTGTACACTGATTACACTCGACTTGGAGCAAGCGGCAGAAAAAAAAAGGAACGCCCGAAAAAGGCAACACCGAACCACACGTCGATTCACGTTTGGAGGCCGTGTGCAATCAAAACTGGACAATACGCTCTGCTTCTGGGACGCGAGCAGAGGGTATTTGTATGACCACACGCCACTGGCTGCTGTTTGTGGATGTCGTCGGCCAAAGGTCTCTCTCTGGCATGCGTTTTTGACTGGTAGCGGGTGACACACGGAGCAAACACGCGGCGAAACAAGAAAAAAGTCCAAAATTCAACACCGCAACACACTTCGGTTCACGTTTGCAGGCCGTGTGCAATAAAAAAACTGGACAACACGCTCTGTTTCTGGGACGCGAGCAGAGGGCATGAGTATGAACACACGCCATTGGCTGCAGTTTGTGGATGTCGACGGCTGAAGGCCTCTCTCTGGAATGCGTTCTGAACTAGTCACACATGCAGCAGGCGCAAAAACGGCTCTTTCGGCCCAAAGGCAAGAACGGCAGCAGAGCAATGTGGCAGGGTTGACGTTATCGGCTCGTGTGCGGCCAACACGACGCAGAACGCCCTGAATTTTAGATACCTGCAGAGGGTTTGTGCATGACCTCATGATACAGGCCTCTGTTTGGCCAGCAGACGGTGTAGTTCCTCGTTCTGGCACGATCGGGGTGTGACCAGGGGGTACCCCCCCCCATTTCTAACAGCGATTTTCCAACAGGATCGCTGTTGGAAAATGGGCCAATTTTCTAACAGGCCGGCCGGAATCGCTGTTGGAAACTGCGCTGTTGGATTTTGGGCTGTTGGAAAATGCCATTTTCCCACCCGTAAGACGCCCAAATTATTTTTTTGCCTCAGAAAAGGACCCCCCAAATCCAATCCGGAAATAATCACACCGTAAGACTCAGCCTTATGCGACGAATACCACACCTGTTACGCAAGTCTACGACACAAAATTATCACTCACCAGGCAGAAAAAATCTCCCGCTCTAGCCCCAGCAGGGATTCAGCGCGACCCGCCTGGGGGGAGCCAGGTGCGGGCAGAAGCGGGTTGTTCTCGGTGAACGTCGCTTCCAACACCTGCCAGTAGCGATGGAAGCACCGAACGCATTTGCACTCAACCGATACAGTAGTTCACACCAAACCAAGTGAGCAGTGCCGAAAAAAACACAAAACACACACACACATGTGCATAAATCGACATGACAGGTCGTACGCATCTAACAAACGACTCGTACACTAAGCAGCACATCTAGCGAACTACTTCTATGTCAAGGCACCAAGCAGCACCTCTAGCAAATCGACGCCTACGCTTTAGCGGCGGCTAGGACCTAAAGAGTCGGGGGCGTGAAAAGCCTGTTGCGCGCCTTGTACCTGCATGATGACGTTAGACTCCGAGATGATGCGCCCGTCGATCTCGGCCACGGGCACGGCCCCCGAAGGCGAGACCTCGCTGAACCACCGCGGCTTGTCTCCGTAGCACCGCATCGGTACCTTTACCGAAAAATATACAACACCGGGGGGGGGGGGGGGGGGGGGGGCCCCCAGGGGGTTAATTTTCCTTTTGGGCAAAAAAAAAACCACCCTGGGGGCGGGGGGGGGGGGGGACGTGGTCCATTTCCAAAAGGGAACCGAAAATCCAACCCCGGGGCCCTTTCAAGGGGGGGAAGCCCCCCTTAAAGGGGGAGTACCCCCCCCCAAAGGGCCCTCCAGTACCACCCCCCAACAAAAAAGACGGGGGGCCCCCGGGGGTTCATTTTTACATTTCCAACTCGGGGTGGCTCCTTTTTTTTTTTCCCTAAAACCCCTTTTCCCCCGTTTTTTTTTTCTTCCTTGGGCCAATTCCTTTTGGCCTTT